AGTATGATGAAGGAGAAATTGCATATTCTTTAAGCTAAATAGATCTGGATTTGAAACTTTGCCCTTCAACTTTCTAGCTGTGTGACACTAAGAAAATTACTGACCTTCTCTGAGCCTCAATGAAGTGGAACATTTTTTCCTCCCTCATTTTTCTGAGGACTAAATGCAATAATATATATATTGAGTACCTAAAAAATAATTAGGGCTCAATAAACACTAGTTTCCTTCTCATTTCTCATTTTTTTTCATTCTTCCTTCTCATTTTTCATACTTTTCCCCAGAGTCTCTAGATGAATAATTTGAACTTCTTGGCAGTTCTCTTGGGAAAGATTCAGGATAAAACATTATATTTTCTTTTTTTATGGAGTTCATCATTATTAAAAAATTACCATTTGACTAATATTTACTTTGATCTCAATAAGACTGTGGACCTTAGTTTAGTCAACTTTATTCCATTTAAATCTGAACAAATTCTGAAATGACCTTTTAAGCAATAGATAGTTTTTAACTTATTTTATGGGAAGGAATGACTGCCCAAGACCACCAAGTGTGAGCAGGCAGTGCTGGGAGCCGTGATGGTGACCGGTGTCTCCACCAAGTAAAACCTAGAGAAGTGACCACTGGATTCTGCCCTCTGCTTGGGGATTGCTGGTAGAAAGTTATACTTCTTAGGCCTAAACCCCAACCAATCTGAATTCATGGAAGTCAATTCATGCTGTACCAGTAGCTCATCTTCCCTCTATTTCCCTGCTGGAAATTCCTCTCTGCCTCTCTGCTTTTCCACCTCCTTTCTTTGAAAATAGCTCAAGGCTCACCTTTATAAAACCTCTCCTGCTCCCTCCCTCCCCTTTTGCCTCATTCCGAAAGGTCTCCTTCTGGCCTTCTCTGTACCCCATGAATACTTCCATCATGGTGCCTAGAATGCTTGGTACCCACTTGTCCCCCTGCTTCTAGGCACTCAGTCCCGTAAGAGGACAGAGGATGGCAGATTCCATCACAGAGTCTGTCACATGGTCAGTGTTCAACAAACATCTGTCGAATATAGAAATAAATGTTAAACATCACAGGAGTTTAAGATAAAAGTCATGGATCCCTCAGATAAAAGAGCACAGAAGGTTGAAATTATAATTGGTGGTGTGGGTTAAAAGCAACATAAGCAGGGCCAAAGAGAGATAAGATGGACTGTCTGCTTTCCGATCAAAGTGAACTAGAAATTTGAAGCAATTATCAGCATTTTTCTGGAAGAATTAGGAATGCTATTTGATTTGCCTAATTACTTAATGTCATTATCTTATGCAGATTTAGGAAGAACGAAGAGTCCTCTTCATCATTCAAAAAGTAATACAAAAGTAACCCAGACACCCTATAAATATATTAAAGCAAAGGATATTGAAGCCTGAAGAAGCTTAGCAATTACTTCAGTGCTCTGTGTCCTTTTCATTTTGCAGACATAGATAGTTCAAAAGTAATGCAGTGGCTAAGAAAATTGTATAGTCAGAACTTGAGCTGGAAGAGCTGCTAAAATACCACTTATATACAAATGTCACATCCTCTTGGACCTCAGTTCATCGATATAAGGGGATGCTGATAACTACTTTACTGGGTCGTTGTGAGGATTTAATGAGCCAACAAATGTTTGATTAATCTCCAAAAGACTACAAATAAAATCTGTAGTTTTGCATGTAAGATACTTAGAGCATTATACTTAAGTGATCTGTCTGTGGGGCTAATATTGTTGAGGATCAAAAAATGTAAACAAATGCTAAGTATTTGTTTAGAAAGCATACGCCTATCAAAAATTCATTACAACACAATTAGTAGTTGATTTTGATGGAAAAAACCCAAGAAGGCATTTTTAAAACTCTGGTTGAAGTGACTTGAATTTATAGGACTGCTCTCCCTTTTCATGAACTCATTTTAAATAAGCCCCAGGGATTTTAATGCCTTGAAGAAAAGTCAGATGTAATTATTCCTCCTTTAGGTTGAGATTAAGCAGGGAAATGCCCAGAATAGGGTAACCCTTGAGTGCAAGGGACAGTCACGTCTTACCACCCCCAGACCCTCACCCACTGGGGTGACTCATGGGGGCTCTGCCACATACAAAAGATGTGCACACATTGCCCCATGGTAAATGTAGGGGGTGGGATGGAGATTTAATTTCAAGGCATAAAAATTAAATAAAATTCAGTCTTGGTCCATCATCCTTATGAGGAGATGAATGTAAATCAGTTTAAGTGGAAGAGCCCTTTCTGGAGCCCCAGCTCAGTTTCCCC